AGGGGCAAGCTAGCAGAGATTCTTTGAGGAATTGGAGGGGCAGGCTAGCAGAGGTTCTTTGAGGATTTGTAGGGGCAAGCTAGCAGAGATTCTTTCAGGAATTGGAGGGGCAGGCTAGCAGAGGTTCTTTGAGGATTTGTAGGGGCAAGCTAGCAGAGATTCTTTGAGGAATTGGAGGGGCAGGCTAGCAGAGGTTCTTTGAGGATTTGTAGGGGCAAGCTAGCAGAGATTCTTTGAGGAATTGGAGGGGCAGGCTAGCAGAGGTTCTTTCAGGATTTGTAGGGGCAAGCTAGCAGAGATTCTTTGAGGAATTGGAGGGGCAGGCTAGCAGAGGTTCTTTGAGGATTTGTAGGGGCAAGCTAGCAGAGATTCTTTCAGGAATCGAAAGGCTCAGCAATGCTCTTCCTCCCCCTAGACGGCCCAAGCCGACCCCAAAAAGTAAACAGTCGAATTATGGAGGAGGAGACGCGAAGCTCCTCGTTTCTGAAGGAGCCCGACCCCCAAATGGCCATGAATTCATAATGGGATGAACGGAAGTGGGGGTAGAGAAACCCTAGACGAGTCGACGCTTATCCGCACTTTTTCCAACCCTAGAAATTGAATGCTGGTCGTTAAGTTGGATGCCTAAAGAGGCGGCTTCGAAAATCGAGAGTGAAATGTACGTAAAAATTTGCATAAAGATCAAAAGTCGCGCTAGATGCGAGAGAGAGTGAGTGAGCGAGAGAGAGAGGTTGAGAGAGGGAGAGCGTGAGAGAGTAGCGCTAGGTCTTAAAGATTTAACAAAAAAAAGGAAATAGTGATAAACGATTACGCAAGGAAAAGACCGTCGGCAATTTTCTATAATTCATAAGAATTTAAAACGCGTAGAGAGACCGAGCCAAAGAGAAAGTCAAAGAGAGAGAGAGAGAGAGAGAGAGAGAGAGAGAAAGAGAGAAAGAGACAAAGCTAGAGCGAGAGCGCGAGATATAGTGAGAGAGAGCGAGTGATGAAAAATTGACGATTCTCGATGAAATTTTTGAAGGGATAACAAAAAAACGCGCTCTAAATATCATTAAAAAACCCTTACTGGCACGCGCCCTTTAAAACAAAATCCAGCACCTCTATAAAGAAGCGTTCCCGGTCCGAACTAATCGATGGATGATGGCCAGGGGGACCCCCGGGTGGCCATCTCCCACCCCCCTCAAAAAAATGCTGGCGCCAGGAATGATTGAGGCGTAAACAAGGGTGCTCCTCCTTATCTCTATCCCTCTGTCTCTATCTCTCTCTCACTCTCTCTCAGCTAAAGCCCATCCTCCTCCCCTTCCACGACGTCACATTGGCCAGGTGCTACTCTGCTTGGGGAGGATGGGACATCTACCAGCCCCCACCCAGACACACCACAAAAAATAGCTGCCACCCCTGTGAAATGAGGGGAGAGAGCCTGGGAGAGGAGACGGGGAAAGTTCCGACACCTTCCGCTAAACCCACTCCAATGATGCCGGGCTGTCACTCTATGGCAAGATGGGGAATGGGGAGCAAGAGCGGATGGGAGAGGTGTCGGAATTTTGGGGCAATTGAGAGGAAGTGTTTCACTTCGAGAATATGCGGAGTGTGACTTAATTTGAAGCTTGAGCTTCAGCTAAGCCCAAGCCTAAGCCTTAGTCTAAGCAAAACCGGAAAGCTAAGCCTAAGAGTAATCCAAAACCTAGGCCAAGCCTAAGCCTAAACAAAGCCTAGAAACGCCTAGCAAAGCCTGGCAGCGCTTGCAATTTTTTTATTCGCCCAGCCTTATTATTAATTTTCAAAGCATAAACTCAATTTTCAAGATTAGTTAATTCCTAAAGTATTTTTATCACTTTTCGGAAGGGCCCTAGCAAATTCAGCTGTTTAAATGCCTTAAATCATAAATACAAAAAAATCTACATGAATTCTTAAAACCCGGATTTTCAAGCGACAAAAATTCGAAAAATCCGGGCCCATGCCCCCCCACGGAAGGGCCATAGAGCAGTCACGGGCAATTAGGGCCCTCCCTCCACCCATCGAAAATAATGGGCGCCCATCGTTTAGGACCCAGTGGTATGTGGAGGGGGCCTGATTGTCCCCCATGGGTAGACGAAGCTTTGTTTTGCCGGAAATCAATTAAAAACTGACAAAGCGCCAAATCGAAGCTTAAACCTAAGCCTAAGCCTAAAACTAAGCAAAGCCCAAGCGTGAACCTAAGCGTAAACCTAAGCCTAATAAGCCTAAGCTTACGCCTAAGCCTAAGCAAACCCAAGCTTAAGGCTAAACCTAAGCCTAAGCTATATATGGGTCGGGGCCCGGGGGCGCCGCCAAATGCCCCGCTCGAGGAGCCTTTTGGGGGCGTCTTGGGTGGGGCCGGGGGCGCCGTGGGTTGGGGCTTTTTCCGGTATGCAGCGATGTAAATTGCAAAAAGTCGTCTGAAAAGCGTTTTTTCGCAATTTGCATCGCTGCATACCGGAAAAAGCCCCACCCACGGCGCCCCCCGGCCCCACCCAAGACGCCCCCAAAAGGCTCCTCGAGCGGGGCATTTGGCGGCGCCCCCAGGCCCCGACCCATATATAGCCTAAGCCTAAGCCCAAACCTAAGCGAAGCCTAAGCTAGGCGTAAGTCTAAGCCTAAGCCAAAGCCTAACCTGAGCATAAACCTAAGCCTACGTCTAATCTAAGCCGCCTAAAACCTAAGCCTAAGCCTAAGCCTCAGCCAAACCCCGAGCCTAAGCAAAGCCCAAAGTAATCCCAAAGCACAAAAAATAAAATCTGATCAAAACAACCGAAAATCTAGCCACTCCCCCCAGCCCCAAATTGGCAACCATCTGGCGAGGGTGGATTTCAGAAGTGCCGGAGGGCCCCAAGCCGAGGGCTAGCAAGAATCCTAGAAGGGGGGATGGGTAGGGTAGGCCGGAGGGATGTGGGCCCTCCAGGCTAAGGGCCCAGAATTGGTGGGACCGAAGGGGGAGGCATTCCCCCGGGGGGACCCTAGGGGGGATCAATCCCGGGGGCTTCGACTCTTCACCCCCCTCACCACGGGCTATTCCAAAACCCAGCCTGGGCACACGCACAAAAACATAGAGCCTCCCGGCGCCGGGCCAGATGGCAGTGAGGGGGAGCTGAGTGGGTGGAGGGCGTTGACCGGTCAATTCTGGGGTTAAAGTTATCAGGAAGGCCCGGATCAATTAGCAAAGATACGGTTTCAACCCCAAAATTAGCATAGATCGTCTTCGCTCGCTCTCGCACGGACCCACTCTCTACCCCGTATTTAGCCTCAGCTATTCCGCTTGGCAACCTGCCAATTATAGATTTGCCCTGCTCTACCGGGACTTCCTGATCTCTTTAAAGGGCTTAGGACAGCACAGAGCCAACCAGTGACGCTATACAAAAAAGGGCTAGAGGGCATTCGCTTAGCCCTTTAAAGTGGGCAGGACACTTTGAATCGAAAAGGCGACAATTGGTTTCGAAAAAAAGGCGGTTACGCGATGCAAAAGATAGGTCAGAGGAAGGGAGTGAAAGAGACAGAGCGAGAGACGAGAGAGAGAGACAGGAAGCGAGAGAGACGAGACGAGAGAGAAAGAGAGTCAGGAAGAGAGCGAGTGAGAGAGACGAGAGAGAGTGTGTGAGAGAGAGAAAGTGCGAGAGAGAGAAAGAGAGAGAGAGAGCGAGTGAGAGAGAGCTATAGAGAGAGCGAGTGAAAGAGTGAGGGAGAGAGTGAGAGAGTCGGAGAGAGTGAGAGAGTGAGAGAGAAAGAGAGGAAGCGTGAGCGTGAGAGAGTGAGAGTGAGAGCAACAGAGAGAGAGAGAGAAAGCGAGAGAAAAAGAGCTGAGAGTTGATGTTTTTAATCGCTTCATTTCCGGCCTCGCCTGGCTGCGCCCCTTTAAAAAGCCCCGCTTGCAAAAAAAATATTTTCTAAAGCTAATTTTTAGCATTTTTCTAAGCAACGTCCAAAAAGCGTAGGCGGGCGTGTGCGGGGTAAAAGTTGGCGTGGCCGGTGGACCGGATGCAAAAGTGTGCCTCCCCCTGGGCCCTAACGATGGCCAGCCGGGCCACAGCACACGCTTACTGCTGGCCGACACACATAAAGCATAATGGGCTACACGACCCCGGTTACGAACCCCCAGATGGAGCACCAGATCCCCCGTGATGCTCCTGCTTCTTCCCCCGCGCTCGTTTCCCTAAACTAGCGCCCATAAAAAGCCGGGCTTCTGCTTGTTAGCCGAATTTCGCGGCCAGCTGGAGCTTGATTTGGACATTCTGGGGAGGAGGAGCTAAGATTTTGGTACTGGACTGTTAGCGGGGGGACAAATTTTTTCCGGTATTACCGTACGGCACCGTGACGAATTATAAAATTTTTAACGCATATTTTTAGGTGTAAAAAACGTATAACAATGATAAAATTTCGGAGATTTTTACTTTTTGTTCAAAAATATATGAAAAATGTTCAAAAAAAGTTTTTTATCTATTTCCTAAATCCTTTTATCTAACCTAAGCTCCCAAAGACCAAAATCTACTTCGAAATCGTTACTTACAGGCGCAAACCCCCCCCCGCTAACAGTACAATACCTAAAATATATCTCACTGCTTCCCCATGTTCTCTTTCAAGAAAACAACCTAAAACTACAAAATAAACCTTTTCACGCTCGACACGCTGAAAATACAAAATTTACACGCTAAAATCCGACGCACGAAATCCGTACTCCACAAGTTTATTCGATTAAATTAGCGGTTAGTTGAAGCCCCAATTCCGAAGATTATTCACAAAAAAAAATACCGAGCAATTCATCAAAATGGCAATAGACGATAGAGGATCATTGAATGATGAGTGATGAGCAACAATCACAGGGCACACATTTTGAGACGGGCCAAGAAATGGGCAAAAAATATTATTAAACATACCTAAATTCACAGGCGCAACACACAGATCAATTTAATGAGATGGCAGCGGGAAATTGGAAAATAAAAACTAACTTTTTAGAAAAATAAAATAACAAGGAGGGGGGGGGGGTGTTAGACAGGGTCGCGGGAATGGCAGAGGCCTTGTTTCCGGACGACCATCGCTCGCTCGAGCTTCTTCAGCTCTTCGCACAGTTTTGAGAGGACCGCCGCGTTTCCGGTGGATCTCTGGAAAAGGAGAGATTTTCTTTAGGATATAGAGGGTGGCCCAAAAAACCGCCCCTTGGCATTTGGCCGTCTTCTATCCGATCGGGACCAATTTTTGCCAGCGATCGGGACCTATAAAAATGTGCGGCCGAATTTTTCTAAGCACAAGTTTGCAAAACAAAAAGTTATAGCCAAATTAAGGTTTATTTTGCCGATTTCACTAGGATTTTGATGGATTTCGACCTCGACATGTTTAGCAAAAATGAATGCACACTTTTTTCCACCCGGAGAAATTTTTTGATTGACGAAAATTACGTCTAAATTGGGATTTTTCATCACTTTTTATTGCCAACATCGGCAGAAACCGACGGAAAAATGATCATTTTTCAGCAAATTACTGAAAACCGGCATGTTAATTGCCAACCTAGTCAAAAGCGAGCCCCAATCTTTTCAAAAATAGGTTTTTTAGTCATAACTTTTTTTCTTTTACAATATTTTGTATAGAAAATTCGGCTTCATAGAGTTTTTATGGGTTCCCATCGCTGGTAAAAATTTCGATTCCGAAGAACAAAAATCCACAAGCATTTGAATTTCTAAAACCTTACCGATGCATGCGCTGTCTGAAGCCTCGTAACAGCTTTCTGCTCTTTCATAGCTTCGTACTGGTAGCGCGAGTCCTGGTTGTAGACGCGAAGCAGGGCGCCGTAAAATTTGATCTGAAACAGGATACAGTAAAAATTAAAGAAATTGGCAGCTACCTCTCCATTATGCAGATGCTTCAACGCCTGCTGGGCGCACAGCTGCTCGGCCGTCATCCGGCGGTCTGACGTTTGTTTTGTCTAAAAAGACAAAATTGAAAAAGCTGATTGCCACTTACCACAAAATCCCCGAGCTTCAGTTCCATCGTGACGCGACTCTGACCGAGTTTCTCGGTCGTCCACTCCATTTTAACGTTGGCCAGCACGGCCGACTGTTGGAGGTGGCGCTAAAAAATTATATTTGTTTCTTAGGATCAGATTTTTCAAATATAACTAGTGGCAGTGTTTCTAAATGGTCTTTACTATTCCTAAACATGAAAACTTTACAAATTTTTATTAAAAAACATCAAAAATATCGATTTTTCGACAAAAAGCCGATTTTTTTACCAATATGTCGACTTTTTCAACATTTTAGGAAAGTTTTTCCAGTTTAAAATAGTTATATATTACTGAAAAACACTATTAAAACACTTTCCATTAACTTAGTTGGAATTTCCAAGCTTTTACAAACAAAATCGGTTCAATCAAATGTATACAAAATATCGAATTTTCGTCCTAAAAATAAATTTGATCAAAATTTCGATCTGTTTCAATTTTTCTGAACATTTCTACGTGAAACCTTGGGCCCCATCGTTAATGGAAAAGAACCGAAAAAATTTCGAGCATTTTGCGCCCTTCTTTAAATTTACGACTCTCCTTTGGCCTCGCTACTCTTTTTCAGCTTCGTCTCGAGGGCCAGCGCTTGGTGGACCGGATGGAAAAGTGTGCCTAACGAGGACCGGGGCCGCTCTGGTAGCAGGCCGACACACATAAAGCATAATGGGCTACGACCCGAACCCCCAGATGCAGCAGAAGAAGAAGATCTCTTCCACTGATTCGACCCCGTTTCCGTAAAAGTGGTGCACATAAAATGAGGGTTCTTCTGCTAGTTAGCCGAATTTTTTTTAATTCTTAAAATCCGAAGAAAAATATTTTCCGGTTCTTACGCATTTCCGGGGGAACGAACTTTTTTATATAAGTCTACAAATGCCTAGTAACTTACCAGACAGTTTTTAATAGCATTTTTGGTAAAATACAGCTATATTAAAACTGAAAAACCTAGTTAAAAACTTTTAAAAATGTGGAAAAAGCCGAAATTTGGTGAAAAATCGGCCTTTTTTCGGTCGAAAAATCGGTAATTTGATGTTTGTTAACAAAAAATTGTAAAATTTTCACGTTTAAGAATTTAGGAATTGAAAAAAAAGAAGAAACCATTTAGATACTGCCACGGTTTAGATTTGAAAAATGAGATCCTAAGAAAAAAACTTAAAAACAGAGTTAAGGATTGGACGTATACATCTATACATTGGAGAGACGCAAGTGTACATAGGTGTAAACGTACAACTATTTGAAAGTGTTTTTTTTTCAGCCAGAACGTAACGTGAAATCCACCTTCAACAGATCCAACGGCGTTGGCACGTAGGATCCCGGAGTCAGATGAGCAACTTTCGGATCGTCGATTGCCACTGTGTCGAAGCACGTATCGGCCTAGACATGATAAATCAATAGCAACGTTATATAGTCCCTTACAGCTTCATCAATCATATCGACTTTCGACGCGTTCTCGTTGTCCAAAACGGCCTCCCCGTCGGCGTTGAAACGGATCGGAGTAGGGGCCAGGAGAAGCTGTAATTGGTCGATTTATTTATATTTATATTTTTTTATATAAACCAAAGAAATAACAATAACTAAAAAAGCCATAATTTGATCTATAGAGCACCAACCTTTACAGCTTCCTCAGCAGCTTGTCGCTTTGCTTCTTTTTTCGAGGCGCCCTTCCCACGGCCAAGCAATTGGCCACGATCTGAAAAAAACAACGATTTAATACGTTATTAAACACAAAATTAAAACTATATAAATTCAATATAAATTACCGTCTTCATCGCCATTCTGCAGACGTTCCCGCTCACGGAGCACCGCCAGCTTTTCTCGAATATTGTCAGCAAATGCCATCCGTGTCTCCGGCGAGATTTTGACGTACAAGGAAAATTGATAGGGCATATTTGCTGATCTATAAGAAGAAAATAGATTATTTATATTTTAAGTTCTAGATCTACCTTCTAGCTTCGGTGTCCTCGTGATAATACGGCTTGCTGCTGCGCAAAAATTTCGAGCTGTAGTCGTGCAAGATGTTGACCGCCGTTTTTCCCTGATCGGAAAAGACTGAAAGAAAATCAAGAAAAACGAACCGCTACGGTGAGATGCTTGGAGCGACCGGGTTTTCCACAGTGGGCCAATCCCTGCGGCGCCGCCATCACGACACTTTTTGGCAGAACGCATCGTCTTACATTTTCTTTAGAAAAAATTAATAATCGAATGTTTATTAGAAAACCTGAATCGTCACCACCCTCCTCGATCGCGTCGATAAGCCGCTGGGATTCGAGAGCCCTGATAAAACATTTTTTTAGGCCATTTTGGTTAGAAAATAACGGCTCTTTCGCATTTCCGAGCGGGGCGTGGAGGGGGGGGGGGGTGAAATTATTCATAAAAATCTAGAAAAGCCTATTAACTTAATAGAAACTGTTTTAATAGCTTCTTTAATAAACTGTAACGATAAAGATCAAACTACAAAATTTTAAAGACGTTTTTAAAAATTTGAAAAAAGTCGAAATTTTGGTAATCGGCCTTTTTTGGTCGAAAATCGATATTTTTTTGAATACGAATTTGTAAAGTTTTCACGTTTAGACATAGTAAAAACTATTTAGTAACGCTTCCACTATTTATATGCGAAAAATGATCCTAAAAAAAAAGTTGGACCCCCCCGGAAATGCGAAAGAATTAAAATAACTTTTTTTCGCCTCATTTCCACAATAAATTAGATGAGAGGCTCACACTTTTGCTTTTACAATTTCCAGGCATAACAAAAAACACACTTCTCTTCTCGCGCCTTTTCCGCCCTCTCCTTCCAACGGTGCAGCGGCCGACGACAGCGAATCGTTTGAAATCGAAACACCCCTTTCGCGTACTCATTCATCTCTGCCGGCTTCAGCTCGGCATTCAGGTCGTCCGCCTGAAAACACTTTTCAAAACCGGCATCCGTTAACGGGAAACTCTCAAAAAATCGCCCCAGATCACCCGTCCACACAAAAGACGGCCGCTACCAATGACTAGCGACCCGGATTCTGTGTGCACCATGATCGGGGGCGAATGAAAGAAAGAAACAGATAAAAAGAGAGAGGATAGTCTTGAATATTTTGTGCTTTATATTGGAACCTGTTTGGGCAACTGTATGTCACCAAGGACCAGCCGGGTGCCCTCCTTCTCCGCTTCCAGCTTCTTCTGGTCGAATAGGGCATTCACTTTGCGCTCGTGTAGGCAGGGAATGGCACAGAGGGGCACCTGAAAAGTTTCTATTACAAAATGTCGCAATTTGGAAGGTAGAAAATTCGGTTCTGACTGTAAGCGGGGGATCCCGATTTTTCCCTGTGGTTCTCTACGGGCTCATAGCCAAATATAAGCTATTTTTATAGCATTTTACATAGTTTTTAGATCAAAAACATTATAAAAATTAAAAATTTCGGAAATTTTTACTTTTTGGTCAAAAATATAAAAAAACGACCACAAAAAAGGTCAAAAATTTCGAAGATGCTGCTGCCATATCGAAAAGACACCATCTGTACGTTCAACTCAGAACATTTCCTAGTATCAAAAATACCTGATGAAAACGAGCAGAACCTTTTCCCAAATGATAGGGCCTCGCAAAGACGCAGACCCGAGTTTGTTGATGCTAAAAAATTTTCTGATCTTTTTTTTTTCAACTAATGAACGTACCAGATAAACCGGAACCCCGGATGAATGCGTGATTTCTCTCCAACCCGGCGGCAGCGGCTCAATGATGTCAGTCCGCCGATACTGTGGCACGATCTTTTCTCTGAAAAAAAAAAAGATTATCCCAATGCCGTTGTCGTATCCTTACATAAAATCCTGTGATTTGCTGTCGTCGATCCCCTTTTCGAGGTATTCTATCGGGTCAAAGTCGTCGCCGTCATCTGGTTCCGCCGTTTCCGGTTTTACATCAGCCTAATTCGATATAGGTTTAAATAGTGGCCAAAAACTAACCTCGGGACATGGTGGAGTACTGCCATTACACTCTTGTGAGGATAGATCTGCTTGCGAGCAGCCGGTATCCAGCGAGAAGACTCCGGACGTCATTGTAGCTTGACTATCAGCTAAAAACGTACACTAAATATTTCAAAAAATAAGGTCAGATTCCTCCAGGCCGGATATTTGAAAAAACATACTCTGGTCCATCGCATCGGCATCCAAGCAACTCTTTTTCGCGGCTGGTTCACCATTCTGATGTCCATTTCGGAAAGGACAACCCGTTCTAAATCAAGCAAGCCGTTTCTAAGAATTCAGCAACGTAACCAACCCATTAGCGGCGTGTGGCTTTAAATCCGTGTCTTCCTTCTCGGCAACAGGCACTTCAGTATCTGAAAATTAAATCAATAATGGAAGAAACGGAAGAAATACTTCAAAAAAATAAAGGATTGCAACTTACATAGTCCTAGTTCTCTTTTGATGGCGGCCATTCGTTCAAGGAGCGACAATTCATCAACATTATCGTCATCATCGTCTTCAAAATAGGCGCCCGAAGTGTCTGCCAGATCCATGCTGAACATTTATATTTAGTTTGGGATTTTTATTATTAAAAAATTTCTACAATTAATTTGCTACGAGGCACAACAATGAACGTACAGTCGTGGATAGGAATGGAGGGCAACAAAGGACCAGGAGGGATTTATTTTCAAAATATTTTTTCAAACAAATGAATATTTTCGATTTGAAAATTAAAAATGTTTAAATTAACTGAATACGCAGTAAAACTATCAACGCGTGTCTACAGTAATGGAGCGCAACAAAGAGCGCAAATTCACGCGCGATAGACTTTCTCTTTTCGTTCGGACATTCGGCGCTGTTTCTCCTGCAAGTCTAGCCACCGCAACGCCTTCCCCCCCTCTGCGCGTGCCTCTCTCCCTCTTTCTCTCTGTCCCTCTCTTCGTCCCGACCCCCCCCCCCTTCCCCCATCTGTCCTCCTCGGCTGGTTCTCTGCTCGGTGCCTGCCTGTGTGAGGGGTCGATCGTTTCTAGGTTCTCCTATCGACCGTCCGTCCCGCCGGCTCGCGCCCTTTGACGATCAGATGGGCGACGCGTCGCTGAACGACACGGCTGCAGGTAATTTTTACCGATAAGCTTTGGCTAGAGAAGAGGGGGTTAGTAACAAATTTAGTGTAAAGTATCGAGAAGCGGTTATCTGATATTTTTCTTTTATTAACTTGACGGCAGAAGTCCTATTTGGTACAAAACCGCGTAGTTATCAAGGCCCACTTATCATGCCCGGGCTTCGTGGTAAAACATTCTGTTTCAAAACTGTTTTTCCAAAGATCTAAAATTGCATAAAATAATATGCTAATAACCGGAATGGATTTTGTAATTAGAATACTTTGGGCAATCCGCCCGACGGTTCGGCTGGATCAAAATTCATTTCTTTCGGCTGTAACAGCCATTCGGTCGGCGGATTACCATGCTTTGCCCAATGCATCATGGTAAACCTTTTGCAAACCGAATTTTACCTTTTCCGGGTCCTGATTTTGTGTGTCAAAAAGTTCTAACCTTTCCAGGTGATTCCTTTCTGCCGTCCACCTCCAATGGCCGCCTTCGGAGTGCCAAGTTCAACGAATGCGTGACGTATTGTGATCCGCTGGTGTTGACGCAGCTTTGGAAGGTATCTTTTTCATCTTTTAAGAAATTTATCTTCGAAATTTAGATCGAAAATTTTCACACCATCCTCAAGCTGTCACGGCCCGGGCAGTGCTTCCGCAGCCAAGTTTTTCGGTAAGCCTATCTTGGTGTGCATAAATCCCTTTTTTAGTGATCAGCAATTGCCGGATGTCTGCTGGCAGCTGTGCCTTTACCCGAATGGCAAGCGAGAGGAGAACAAGGACAATGTTTCGCTCTTCCTGAAGATGTCGGCCACTGTCCCCAACAAAGAGGTATTCGCTTTGGCTCAAGTCTAGGAAACCCCCCCCCCCCCCAGCCGACTTTTCAACTTTTCTACCTTCATTATTTTTATTTTTCGCTACTTTTTTCGACTAAACTGCAATGTAGTCTTACTAATTAGCCTACGGCGAACATTTTGGTATACTTTAGAGCTCGCTAGCACAAAAAGGGGGCCGAGATACAAAAGTTGGTGCCGGCTGGGGGGGGTTTTCTAGACTCTTACCTTCGCTTTTTTGTTACGTTTTTACATCGTCTTTTAGGTGCTGGTGAAGGCCGAATATCGTTTCTACTTCCTCGACGACCAGGATCATCCCCGCTTCAGCAACGTGAACATAGGCGACTTCCACGCCAAGCCACCGAAGGGCGGTCACTCGTGGGGTCTGCGCAACATCCCGAAGCAGAAGGTTGCCTCCGCCGTCCGCCAAGACAATTCCCTGGTCGTCTCTTGTATTATCGAATTGATGCCGGATGTCAAAAATATCGTGCGTTTTATTGAATTTTGTTCACGCTCACTGAATTCCAATGAGACCTTCATTCAGGCATTTTATATTCTAGGTGTGCAAGCGTGTCTCGGCCCACAATCCATTTACCTTTGAAGAAGTCAGCCAAACCCATCTGCAAGAGGGTGCGTGATTTCCGCATTTTGCTGACATTATGAAATTCGTTTCAGAGCACGCATTACTGAAATCCGGCGAGGGCAGCGATTTCACCGTTGTTGTCGACAACACGGAAATCCCCGTCCACTCACACAAATTGTGCGCCCACTCTGCTGTCTTTCGCGCGATGCTGAGCCATGGGAACATGCAGGAGACAAAGGATCGGACCCTGTCGTTGGAAGCCGATCCGACGGCCGTCAAGCTTATGCTCGAGTACATCTACTGCGGGCGCATCGTTTCCGAGGCGTACTGGGAGAACTTCTTGAATGTAAGCAATACATCCGGTTTCGGTATATGTTTTTTTCTAGGTGATGATCTTGGCTGAGAAGTACGAAATCCTCGACCTCAAGTCGGTCTGCGAACAGCAGTTGATAAGCTCGTAAGTTTGGTATTCTTCTTTCCTCAATTTCCCTTGTTTAGTACCGTGAGGGATAATGTCTGTGAAATCTTGCCGCTTGCTGAGTTCCATCGGGCCAACACTCTCTACGACCACTGCCTCAGCGTGGTATGGATCAATTTAAAAATTCAGTTTATCTCTATTTTTAGGTTGCCTCCAACAAAAATGGGATCACGAAGACCGAGACGTGGAAGCGCTTCAGGGTATGATCAACTTTTGCAGCAAGTACATTTCTTTTTAGGAAGAACACCCGCGCTTATGTGCCGAAGTACTCGAGTGTGTGATCGATGCCGGCCAGAGCCCCCCTCCGCCCAAGCGAAGCCGAGGCAATTTCATCGCTCCGATCGGATGATCCGCCCCGTCGCGTGCACGTGCACCCATTATAGCCCCCGGAATTTTTCGTAATATGTACTCTGCTTAACCACTGACTACTTCGTCGCTTCCCTCCATTGTTGCACGAAAATGATTCTCAACTAGGCATTTAAAGCAATCCGGATATCACTTGTGATTCACCTGTATATTTATTTACGATGCCGTCGAAACGTAAGGAGCGCACTCCGAATATATCCACGAGTTGTGTCTTTCATCGTGTGTCCTCCCATGCAATTCGCGTCCCACATTGATAAATGGGCTGGTTGGCATGCTTTTTTTGGTCTTGGATGCCGATAAATTTTTGGTGCGTACTTCTCGTTGCCGATAAATACACGATGCGCATTCGCATTAATATCTACAAGTCGATTGCGGAGATCGAAAAACTTTTGCTTTAGCCTCCAAAATGGGGCGTATGGACGTATCAAAGTTGCGGTACCTGGAAGGCGAACACTTCCGGGTGATGCTCGCCGTGGAAATGGGAATGAAAAACCACGAGCTCGTCCCGTTGCAGTTAATCTCTTCGATTGCAAGGATACATCGTGGTGGTGTGACGAAAACACTTGGTGATATTGGAAAGTTCGGATTGGTCGCATATGAGCGCGGAACGAAATGTAAGGCACTTCCCGCTTCAACTACGCTAATTTTTAGACGACGGCTATCGCCTAACCAAGCTTGGATACGATTACCTAGCTTTGAAAGCGCTTTGCTCTCGAGAAGTCGTGGGGTTAGTGATGATTGACTAGTCAACTTCTTTGATTTAGGTCGGTAGGAAACCAGATTGGCGTCGGCAAAGAATCGGATGTCTACGTTGGCGGTGATCCTGAACTGAACGTAAAAATTTATCACTGTACTCAAAAATGCTCGTTAGGACCTCTGCCTGAAATTCCATCGTTTGGGAAGGACGTCTTTCCGGAAGATCAAGGAAAAACGCGATTATCACAAGAAGAGAAAGTCGGCGAGTTGGCTCTACCTCAGTCGACTGGCCGCTGCAAAGGAATTTGCCTTTCTAAAAGTAAGCCAAATCGGGTTTTTTTTGAACCGCGTTCGTTGAGGCACTCGCTGATGCTAAATTCCCTGTACCGCGTCCCGTCGATGTGTGCCGCCATTTGGTGGTTATGGGACTTGTTGAAGGGCTAACGCTATGCCATGTCGACGAAATCGATGATCCTGGTGCTCTTTATGACAGGTTTGTACTTTTCAATGTCATTTTATTAGATTTTTCAGATTGATGTGCCTTATCGCAAGGCTGGCTCGATACGGCCTCATCCACGGCGACTTCAACGAGTTCAACGTGATGCTCGTGGCGGTTGGTGTCGTGCCACTTCTCCCAAGTCTAGTTTTAGGACGAAAAAGTAGTCCTCATCGATTTCCCGCAAATGGTCAGCATGGATCATCCAAACGCCAAGTATTACTTCGAAAGGGACGTCGAATGTGTTCGTACGCTATTTAAGTAAGTCGTGTACAACGCGATAGATTTTATGATTCTTCAGAAGAAAATTCAACTACGATTGTGACGAATTCCCAAAATTCGAAGAGATGACCCGAAAATATAATTTGGACGTCGAGCTGGAGGCTAGCGGATTTACCCGAAAAATGGAGGAGGATTTGAACAGGGTGCGTTTTTGGAAGTCTTTGGAGATTTCTTTTAGGCGTACGATGAAGGCAACTTCCGGGCACATGAGGAGACGATCGATGAAGGGGCTGGAGAGAGTGAGAGCAATGATGATGAGGAAGACGATGAGCCAGAATGGGAGGATGAACTCAGCGATGTTGAGGAAGGAGACGAAGAGGACTCTCAAGGAGATTACGATAAGGAGGAGCAAGCCGTTGAACGAAAGGAGAACGAGAAGAAGGTAAGGTTTGGTTTATATTTATTTTAATGATTTCTATCTTTCAGGCTGATGACATCAGCAAATCTGGTCGTTTCTCCTCATGGCTTGCCACGGCTACCTCCCAAGTTGATCAACAAGTCGAGGAGGCCACCGGGGAGCACAGTCTTCTGGAGCATCCCCGTAATATGGAGATAGCCGAAGAAGTGCGAAAGTTTGTTACATGCGCTTGGTAGATGAAAAACCATTTAGGGATCGAGAGGCTTATATCAAGGCTCGACAAGAAGCCGACGAAGAAGAGACCGACGCACTGGAACGTGAGATGGGCACCGATGCTGTCGACGACAGGAACAAGCAGGCACTTCAGAAGAAACGGACCGGTGGTACCAGGTTAGTATACGGTGTCCCAAAAAACCCGCTCGGCATTTGGACGTCTTGTTTCGCATCGGGGCCAATTTTTACCAGCGATGAGAGCCCATAAAAACGATGTGCAGCCGAATTTTCTAGGCAAAATTTTGTAAAACAAAAAAGTTATCCCTAAAAGGAAGGATTTATGGGAGAGCTGGTACTCATTTTTGGATATGGATATGGATGAAAAGTCCCAATTTTGGACGTAATTTTCGTAAATCAAAAAATTTATCAGGGTGGAAAAAGTGCAGCCTTCAGTTTCGCTTAATATTTCGAGATCAAAGCCCGTCAAAATTCTAGTGGAATCGGAAAGTAAACCTTAATTGCGATATAACTTTTTGTTTTACAATATGTTGATTAGAAAATCCGGATTCACATCGTTTTTATAGGTCACCATCGTTGGTAAAAATTCGGTCCCGATCTGATAGAAGACGGCCAAATGCCGAGGGAGGGGGTGCCTTTCGGGATTCTGAAGTTTTTGTAGTTGTCTGGATACAATTTTACCAATACTTACTTTCAATTTATCTTTAGGTCTGTTCGCTCGACAGGCTCCACAATTGCCCCCGAAGAAATCAAGCGCCGCGTTGCCTTGGAGTCAAAGCGGCAGAAAGAGAAGATTCGCCTCAAAGTGAAGGGACGCCAATCCGCGGTTTGTATCCCCCCGAAAATCCTTACAAATCTCGTGTCCATTTTAGGTGAACCGTGGCCGCAAAGAGAACACGAACAAGATTAACGAGGATGCGTTCTGGGATTGAACCATCTCACCATCACTCACTTCCCGTTTCTGAATCAATTGTGATCGCCACTTCTATTTGTTCGCTGCCCTCTGCATTAATCCGCTTTTTTTCTGCCCGTCCGACCTCTTTAAGTCCACCCCCCGTTTTTTCACATAGACCCCCGCCTCCCGTGCCCATCCATGAATTGACGGCTCGGAATAGGACAGGGATTAGTCTGATAAGCTAATTCCTTTTCATTGTTGGCTTGTGTTGCGTTTTGTTGTTGCCTATTCCCCGGATTGTTACCGCCGATTGTTGAATGTTGTAAAGATTTTATCCCGATTCCTTGTACAAAAACCACAGCACAACTTCAGAACAGTTTGATTATTTCATTTATCCGCGTCGAGTTCTGGGAAAATTGAATTTAGCGGGCAACGCGGCTTCCGGCAAATCGATAGAGGAGAAGCGATGGTTGATAAAGTGAGGGCTATCATTTTTAAATGCGGCAGATGGGAGAGGTGGTAAAGTGGTCTAGCCATACCAAGGGCAACGCGGGACACGTGAACAGGGCCGGTGTTCTGTTTGTCAATGAATTTTTGCCTCTTATCAACGAGTCGGGATCATTCGAATGATGAACGCGCCTTTTTCTTGACCATTGACACTTTTTGAGAGTTCTAAAGGATCTTCGCAACATAATATTTGATAAAGACTCGTTAGCTTTGCAAAAATTTCGGCTTTATCTAGCATAAACGAAAGAAATAAATAATTTCCAGCGCAGCAACATGGCCGCCGCCGACGTGGTGATCCCCGAGGATTTTGAGGTAGGTTTAAAATTGGATTCTTGATTTTTCTGCTCTATTTCAGCTGCCAGTCGACGCTTTCGACATTCCGCATTGCTATGAGGGTGACCTGAACGCCGTCATCATCCCGGAGGGGATGATCAAGGACCGGGTGCGAAGGCTGGCCAAAGATGTACATGCAAAGTAAGTGGGGGAAATTGAAAACGAACTCTAGAGGAAGTTTACACAAAATTTTGCTCGTGCACTCTGTTTCTAACAATAGTTTCAACAAATATTCCAGCTCTGTTTGTTTCTAACAAAGTCAAGAAGTTTAATAAAACTAAATCCTAGGATCGGAGACGCCGAGCTGAGCCTGCTATGCGTGCTGAAGGGCAGCTACAAATTTTTCACAGCTTTGGTGGGTGGATTTTGTTGTGGAAAATAAAAAAAATCTGTGGGAAAAGATAGGTGCATTTGCAAAGTTTTCAGGTAGATGAACTGTCATACGCCCGTTCCTCGTGCACTCAACCGATGACCGTAGATTTCATCAGATGCCAAAGCTATGAAGATACCCACTCGACAGGTAATAAATTGGTATAATAGCATCCACACTCGTAAATAGTAAATATTAAATCTGTAACAAATTTTGAATTTAGGAAGAGTCGAAATCGTCGGCCTCAGCAACCTGTCGGAGCTGAAGGGCAAGAGCGTTTTGGTAAATATTTTCGGACTTAATTGATTGAAAATAATATTTGTAGATCGTCGAAGACATTGTCGACTCGGGGCAGACATTGGCCCGTCTTTTGCACACCCTCGAAGAGTTGGGCGTGAAGAAGACGTGGACGACGACGCTGCTCAGCAAGAAGGTCCCACGAAAGGTGAAGCTATAATTCTTTTACTATAGTAATAAGATTTTGATTCTAATATTATAATAGGTGAAGCTTTTCGGAGGAATTTTTTAATTAATAAACTTCAGGTGGACGTCCAAGAAGACTTCATCGCCTTCCAAATCCCCGACAAGTTCATCGTCGGCTACGGGCTCGACTACAACCAAAAGTTCCGCGACCTCAACCACATTTGCGTGATGAGCCCGAAGGGCATCGAGAAGTACCGCAACAAATGAGCATTTTTGGCCATTTTTTAGTTTTTAGATTGTTACCATCGATAGATTAGACCCTCCAATGTTGGTTGTGCGCCTCTTTCTCTATATTTCTTTCTCTGTTTGCCCCTCTACGCTCACACATAATTTTATCATGCTTTACGGTTTGTCGCGAAAGATTCGAGGAATAAATTTTTCGAAAACATACATTTTTGGGGTGTAAAAATCACAATGTTTGGGTGATGAGCGAAAAGGGAAGGGATCCGGGCAGCTTTTTCTAGAACTGCCCGGTCCGTTTGAAAGTGGTTGAAGGATGAAAAAGGCAAAATGAGTCATTTGGTAGCGATTCAAATGGTCGTGAAATGAATAAAAATTGATAAATATGGAGAACGAGAAAATTCTGGCAACATTGGGGGAATTTTGTGAGTACGAGAGTACAAATTACACCGTCCGTGGACGGTTCAGCGGACATAGGAGCGCCGCGTACCGATTTTTCAATAGCGTGAAGCGGATTTGTCAATTTTTAAGCAGCTGTTTCTTCCTTTTTGAGGATCACTGCTGGCGTCTCAGCGTCTTTGGCTTCCGGCATTTCCTAAAGCAACAGTTTTATAGTATTTTTTAAGCTAAGCTCTAAAAAGCTTTAACTCTAGCTGCCAGCTCCCAAAAGATACCTCGGGAAGCGCATCGCCCAGATCTTGGACGAGTTCTTCATCGGCGGCAGGTAAGTGATTCTAAAAATGAGTTTAGTTGAATTCGTCAATTAATTAGATGACGTAGATCGCTATAAAGTAAAGATTCTGGGTTGCCAATCCCTTTAAAAACCAACCTGGACCTCGATTTCGGCGGGGTGTTCGGCAATTGGGCCCTCTGAAAAATAGAGTAACTTTATTTCTTCTTTTAATGACATTTTCTGGGATTCCGCTTACTCTAAAGCAAGAGTCAAGCTCCTCTAACATCACTAAAGTTCGTACCTTTCGACTCGGCCACCACCGGCTCCTCGACGATGACGCCCGGCTGGGCGGTGATTACCGGGGCCCTAAGAATGCTGTATTTGGGACACCTTCTAACAGGTTACCCGAACCATAGCTTGTGGTCCTTCCGCCCCTTCGCCTTGTTCTCGCTCACGTAGAGCTCGCCTGCAATGAAGACGAGTTTTTAGGCTGAGCCTGAGTCAGAGCCTGAGCCCGAGCTGAGCCAGAGCCAGAGCCTGAGCCTGTGCTAAACCCACCTCGATCCACAGCAAAACGAGCGCAGAAATCGGTGACCCCCTTCAGCATCTCTTTATAAAGCTGCGGCCCGCTCCACGACGATACAGGCAACGGTGCGAGGCTCGGAGTGATCGTACGGCCATACAGAATCTTAAGCTCATGGATAGGGGGGCAGACTAGCAGAGATTCTTTGAGGAATTGGTGGGGCAGGCCAGCAGAGATTCCTTGAGCAACATACCCTGGCCTGCTCAAGCGATGGGACGAGCAGAGTAAATTGGTTTGATCGTAGCCCTTTTTCTTCAAGACCCGCGAGCAGCGCCCCGAGAAGCCCTCTAGCGATGATTCGATGCGAGGCGACGAGCACGCAGACCGGATCATGACCCGGGTTTATGATACTGTAGGTCGAGCCCGAGGGGCTGGGCTGAAACAAAAAATTCAATACGTTTAAGACACCACCTCCTTGTCGTCATCGATTCGCCCCGACTTGCACCCACACAACTTCCGGCACATCAGAATGCTGACGTGCTCGCGCTCCATGCGGAATGCGTGTTCTCACATTAAGGAGAGCATCTGGAATTATTGGTAGAAAATCTTGTATATTTTTCAAATTGCAATGAATGAAAAAATGCAGTAAAGAATTCCACAAAGAACCTTTGCTAGCCTGGCCCTCTAATTACTCAAAGAACCTCTGCTAGCCTGCCCTACCAATTCCTCAAAAATCTCTGCTGGTCTGCCCCGCCAAATTCCTCAAAGAAGCGTTGCTAGCCGCCTCTGAATCAGAAGATATGATCACATTACGAGAAATAGGGGCGCAATTAGCGCAATCAATACGAAACCCAGGTATCCACGTCTCTGGGGAATTTACAAATTCTAACGCTTCCCAACGATACGCAACAAATGACGGGCATGTCTATGCCTATTCCTGAAGGGGGCAATTAGAAGTGTGATCAACTGAGAGAGAGAGAGAGAGAGAGAGAGAGAGAGAGAGAGAGAGAGAGAGAGAGAGAAGAGCGAGCAGCAGATTCTCGCCGAATATGGCGCTAATTGCGGATGGATGGGGCCGAGGGGTGGGCCCTAATCCCAGGGTCCATCCCCGCATGGGTCCATAACAAGCACAGAATTTCGGTAGGGCTTCAAATTAGCATACCTGGGCGGGAGGAGGGGGGGGGTTTAGACCTGGGTGCAAGCTTACGGCTTAAGTTTAGGCTTAGGCTTTGGCTTCGCTTAGGCTTAGGAATAGGCTTAGACTCAGGCACAGGCATCGCTTAGGCTTCGCGTAGGCTCAGACTAGGCTTGGGCTTAGGCTTAGGAATAGGCTTAGGTCCAGGCCTAGGCTTCGCTTAAGTTTTGGCTTAGGCTTCGATTAGATTTAGGCTTAGGCTTAGGCTTCGGCTTAAGCTAATTTTGGTCCCTTAGTCTTGCAGCGATCTAGCTTTGAAAAACTGCTTTTAAAAAACGTAAATTAAATAGTTACAGTAACAATTTCCAAAAGGTCAAGCCACGCGTGAAGCCGGTGGGGGGCCCACCTGAGAAGGGGTGGCCCCTAATCCGGCCGTGGGCCCCTCCCACAATATATGGGGTGGGGGGAGGAAGAAAGAGCCGGACAGGACCCCCAGCTCCGATCAACAACTCATTACGCAGAAATCTGCGAGCAAAGGGGGGCTCCGACGCAATCCAATGGACGTCCTTTTGGAGGGGTATGAAATATAGAGGATTTGAGAATCATTTCGCGGTGATTGTTATTGTGGTTACGGTGACAGAGAGAGAGAGAGAGAGAGACGGAGAGGGAGACAGAGAGATAGAGTGATACAGCGTGAGAGCGACAGAGTGGTATAGCGATATAGAGTGAGAGAGAGCGAGAGAGAGACAGAGTGAGAGAGTGTGAGAGAGATAGATGGAGAGAGAGAGACAGTGTGAGAGAGATACAGAGTGATAGAGTGATACAGAGTGAGAGAGAGAGAGGTAGAGAGAGAGAGAGAGAGACGGAGAGGGAGACAGAGAGATAGAGTGATACAGCGTGAGAGCGACAGAGTGGTATAGCGATATAGAGTGAGAGAGAGCGAGAGAGAGACAGAGTGAGAGAGTGTGAGAGAGATAGAGGGAGAGAGAGAGACAGTGTGAGAGAGATACAGAGTGATAGAGTGATACAGAGTGAGAGAGAGAGAGGTAGAGAGAGAGAGAGAGACGGAGAGGGAGACAGAGAGATAGAGTGATACAGCGTGAGAGCGACAGAGTGGTATAGCGATATAGAGTGAGAGAGAGCGAGAGAGAGACAGAGTGAGAGAGTGTGAGAGAGATAGAGGGAGAGAGAGAGACAGTGTGAGAGAGATACAGAGTGATAGAGTGATACAGAGTGAGAGAGAGAGAGAGGTAGAGAGAGAGGGTGAGGGAGAGAGAACGAGCAAGCGAGAGAGAGAGGTACGGAGAGAGCGAACATTGTACAGTATCATTTAGGGTTGAAACCCTCAGCCTACAATCTTCACCTCTCTGTCGCGCTCCCTTTAATCCGGGGAGCAAAATCGTCATTTGGGTAAAGTCGTAATAATATTGGCAGGATGCCCCGAAATGGCATCCAAAGCATATGGCTTCTGCCCCGCTCTCGGCTACACCCAGATTCCCACAGCCCTCGGGAATCGTAGAAGGTAGGAAAGGGAAAAAGTGTGTTTTAGGCACACCGATTTCCGGGAACGGGACCACAGCAGGTTGCTTGCAAATAACAATAAAGCGGTTTTACGTAGGCTGGAACTTTGCAATGAAACCAAGTCTAACTTGCGCAAAATTTTACGCTGATTAGGAATCTATTTACAAAAATTGCGGAATCATGATTCTTTGAACAGTTAAAATTTATTTTTGTGTTCTACAACGTTCCTGCTAGTCTCGTGGTCGCTAAGATGCATATTATGAATTTTTAAACATAATATTGGACAAAAATATATAAAACCAGTGAAAAAAGACCGCTTCGCGGCCCTTTTCCACTGTACCCCGTCCAATAACCATGAATTTAATACTTTCTTTTTTAGCCTGCGGCGCATGAACCTGAGTCAAGGAGCCATTCTTTGGCCTGTGGCGCAAGAGCCAGTGTTGCGCTAGAATCCTTGAGCCTAGTTACTGGTTTTCCCTCATGGGATCTGGCTTGCGGCGCGAGAGCCTGGGTCCAGGGACCTTTTCTTTGGCCTGTGGCGCTAGAGCGAGAGCCAGGCCTAAACCTCGCACACCGAGAGCCTAAAAATAAGTTTTGTTGCTGAACTACCAAAAAGCAGAAAGCCAAATTGGGCGAGGATCCGAACCCACGAGCATGGGCGTGGTAGACCCCGCCCCAATCCACTACACCTCAGGGCAGGTGGGAACGGGGGATATCTTAAGAGTCGACTGGACGAAAACCTATGAAAAACGGATAATAAAATTAATTTTTTTTGTATCTCGAAACTACTGTAGCTAGCGGACTCAGGATTGTGGTTATTTTCGGTCTGCTACACCTCTGGTCCAATTTTCGGACAGAGCGGATGCAATACGGCGAAACGCCAGATGGTTCGTTTTTCCCGTTTACACCCTGTAGTTTCTTGAAAATTAAATCCTACTACAGTGTGTGCCATAATGATAGGGGAATGAAGTTTTTGGCCGTTTTCTCCGCGGTCTTGCATGTACCCGTACAAACCGGATAGTATGTTTTGTGGTCCGGAAAAATGCGCATCTTTTGGTCTACTTGAAATGCTTTTACGCTGCAGGATCACGTTTTTCTACGCAATTGTATAAAAATAGGCGAAAAACACAAGTGACAAAATGATAGGGGAATCATTAACATATCATTTCCATCAACTTTCTGTATGAATAGTGGATGCTAAGTGATTTTAATTGAAGATTCTTAGGAAAGAACGATGCAAAGATAGCATTTTCTTACCGAAACGCCAACCGCAAACAGCCAGCTAAAATTTGCATCGTTCTTTCCTAAGAATCTTCAATTAAAATCACTTAGCATCCACTATTCATACAGAAAGTTGATGGAAATGATATGTTAATGATTCCCCTATCATTTTGTCACTTGTGTTTTTCGCCTATTTTTATACAATTGCGTATAAAAACGTGATCCTGCAGCGTAAAAGCATTTCAAGTAGACCAAAAGATGCGCATTTTTCCGGACCACAAAACATACTATCCGGTTTGTACGGGTACATGCAAGACCGCGGAGAAAACGGCCAAAAACCTCATTCCCCTATCATTATGGCACACACTGTATATATAAAAAAATAGTGTCTGTGTGTATGTGTCGATTTGCATGCAACTTCCGTCTGTATGTCCGGAGGATAACTCTATAGGGGATGAATATTAGGGTACGTATGATCCATCATTAGGTGCGTAATGGCTCTGCGATGACTGCACACTTCTCCGAATTATGAAAATAAGCTATTTTCGATATTAGAAATAAGTTTTTCTAAAATTTTCGGACACCCTCTTTGTTAGGAAACAATTAGCATATACCGGAAATAGAAGAAGCCTATATAAAGGGATGGAGGGAAATCTTTTCATTTTTTTGGCAGTTTGATTGAGGGGCAATTATGCAAAGTTTACAATTTCATTTGTCCAAACGGGGCCAGGGTTGAAAAGTCGCGAAGCGGCTTTTCAACCCTGGTTTCCTAATTAATTTTTCTAATTTCTAATTATTTATTCTAAGCAAATTTCTAATTCTAATTTTTAATTAATTTTCTAATTTCTTGTTGCAAATCTGTCACCAGTCAGATCAGGACCCACCCATTTTCAAGGCATGAGTAAGCCTAAAAGTGGGGTCGATTCGGTGCTTTTTTGGTTGGGCATTGTATGCGTTGCCTTTTCCTGCCTTCACTTCCCTCTTCGCTCTCTCCCCTTTTCCCCCATTTCAAGAGGTTTTCGTGTTATCTTAAAACTTGTCCACCTCTCTCTCCCTCTCTCTCTCTCTCTCTCTCTCTCTCTCTCTCTCGCTCCGAGTCAGCAATACCCAGTGGTTGGGCCCGGCCTTAACAAATCAATATTACCATTTCTATACGGGTAATCCTGAATTTCAAGCTTCCCAGATGCGTAGAAGACGGTCGATGGAGCTGATTCAATCGATACTGCCACCACTTGATGGCAGGTAAGCTTAATGGAGAAACTTCAGCTTGGTCTTAGGCTTAGGTTTCGGCTAGACCTGGCTTGGGCTTCGCTTCTGCTTGGGCATAGGCTTAGGCATAGGCTTAGGCTGAGGCTGAGGCTTCGTCTTGGGCTTAGGCTTGGGCTTAGGTTTCGGCTTAAACTTGGCTTCGGCTTAGATTAGGCTTAGGTTTCGGCTTAGGGTTGGCTTGGGTTTAAGCTTAGGCTTAGGCTTATGCTTCAGTTCAGGTCTAGGATAAGCTTGGGTTTAGGCTTATGCTTGGCTTGGACTAAGGCTTAGGTTTGGCCTTTTGTTAGCTTTATCTTAAGCTTAAGCTTCGGCTTCGACCAGACTTTCGCCTTTTTTTGCCAGTCACTTCAAAATTCAAGATACCTCCGTCCCTATTTCCGGATAAATGGATGTTTTCTGTAGTGTT